ATAATAAGTAAAATAAAAAAGCAAAACAGAAAAGAATAATTTAAAATAGAAAATAAATACATATAAAAATAAGGGAAAATAAATAAATTAAAGAACTACCATAAAGATAAACAGAGAACACACACAGAAAAATAAGATAAAAAAAATAGAACTTAGAAAAAAAAAAAAAAAATTATATATAACACAATTCCCCAACATGTTCTTTCTGCTTAATTATGCCAGGTGTGATCCATTACCTGTTAGAAAGTTTGGTATGGATAGATAGGTTTCTTTGTTTAGGTTAGGTTCTTTTACCTTCTGTGCATTCTCGATTCCATTTTGCTTTTCAGTATCATGTCAATAATATTTCCAGAAATTTTGGTTCAATTCGATTAGTTATTCTGGTGCTACCAGTCTGCTCTACCTTTAACGACTATGCAATGATAGGGTAAATTTGCATAAGTGGTGTTGATTTTAGTATTTTACCCCACATTTTCCCTTGACTTCAAAGCTCTGCCCACTTTAAACAAGTAATATTGGTAGGTAATTTTATCGATTAAAATACTCAAAAAACACAAATATTTTATGGAAATGCCAGACGAAAAGTCTTAGAATAGTCTGAAATATGCGAAAAACGTGTTTATGAGTTAGGCCCACTTATGCAAATTTACCAATTGATTACTAAAATTGCCTTCTTTCTGACTAACCTAACCTAAAATAACCTAACAAGTTTAGCAACTTTGTAGTAAGTGCTGGGACGCTGGAAAGTTTTAAAAGGAGGCTAGATAGATTCATGGACGATAGAGAGTGGCTGCAACTCTCGACAGGAGCTGCCATAAACAGGCCAACCAGCCTATTGCAGACTCCTTATTTTCTTATGGTCTTATGACACCGAATCAAACCTAACCTAACTGACTCACGAAATGATGAAACCACTTATTTCTTACCTTATTGGCCTGGTTCTGGTTGGATATGTTGGTCTTGACGATACTTACATTAGTTCTTGCACTTAGGACACTTTACTGGGGTCGGGAGAACACCATTTGGGATAAGCTATCTCCGTTATACATTTGCGACGGTAAAGTAAATTAGAAAGTTATCTTATAATTAGACGTCTTATTCGAATATAATAGACTAGGGATAGGAATGTTGTGTACGGAACTGCAATAACACCTCAGGTTATACCACAGCTGGCCTACTGTACATCACTTGTCACCACAATAGCACCCAGCTTAGGGCCAGCTGCTGTTAAAGTTCCGGTGGCATCCAACACCTGTCGACTCGTGGAGATTAGTACATAATCCTGTGCGCCAGGTGATGGTACACGTCATATAAATGACGTCATTAAACTTTTTGATGTGACGTATATAATAATATTGCACTTCAACAGTGAGGTCTTTAAGCGCGTAACAAAGTTAGTAATAGACTACTTTTTCTTTATAGTCCAACAGCATTAATAAAATTCAGGGAGATAAATAAAAATCATTGGCGATACCGCAAAGAGGATAAAAGTATGACAATTGTATATAAAAATTTTATGTCATGTCTGTACACCGCGCATATATAAGTTTCTTTATTAATACAAGTGTTAGCTCTACGAATTTAAAACCATGTAGATGTTCATCTGATTGTCCATGCCATATATTTAGAATTCTGCATGTGTTGAGTGCTCGTCTAGTCAATTTGGGATGAAACAAAATGTTATAAAAATTATTAATTGGAATAAATGCTATTTACGTTTAAAAGCCAAGATAAGTTGCAAAGCAGTATAAACACACACTTGTGAAAGCCACAAAATGATCGCAACTTTTATCCTCTTCGCCACTGATCGGCACGTTAGCCGCTTGGGCGATCGGTCACGTCTCTGATTACTTTTCCTTTTAATTTATCTTCTTCAACAAAAGATCGGCTCGCTAGCCACCCGGGCGATCGGTCACGTCACTGTCACGCACTGCTGGCAAATACTGGGCATGCACCGGCTCCTGGATGTACCTGAACCCGCTCCAGTGTTGGTCAAGTCTTGTCTTGAAAGAGCTCACACTCGGTGCCGTCACAACACTCTCTGGTAGATTGTTCCAAGAGTTTACAACCCTCACTCCGAAAAAGTTTGCCCTCACAGTTTTCTGGACTTGCGGCTTCTTCAATCTTGAGCTGTGACCCCTTGTGGGGCGAGCGTCCGCCAGCTCCAAGTAAGGACACTCGACTGAGTAGTGCCCCCTGAGATGCTTATACACCTCAACTAGGTCCCCCCTTGCCCGTCTGTTGTATAAGCTAGGCAAGTTCAGGCGCTCCAATCTCTCAGGGTAGTCTGGTGGCCCTCCTTTGAACATTTTCAACCAACTGACAGTCCCAAGCATATCTCGGGGACCAGACGGGGTGACAGTACTCCAGATGGGGAAGCACTTCACTCTTGAAGATTGTTACGAGGGACGGACCGTCTAGATATCTGAACGACCTTCTTATAAGACTCAATAATTTATTTGCCTGGCTTACCTTCTTCTCGCAATGGCCCTAAAACTTCAGCTCATTGTCAACATACACACCTAGGTCCTTCTCACATTCAGTCTCAACTAGTGCAGTTTCTTCATCCCGTTGGGACATATGATACGCCTCCTTACCGTTGGTACGCCCCAGGTGCATCCTCTTACACTTCGTGACATTGAATCTCAGCAGCCATTTCATCGACCATTCTTGGAGCCCACAGAGATCCTTCTGCAGCTCTTCACAGTCCGCTTGGTTCTTAATTTCCCGAAATAACTTGGCGTCATCAGCAAACATTTATATGGAGGAGTGTACAACGCCAGGCATGTCATTTATGAAATAAACAAACAACAGCGGGCCCAATACACTGCCCTGTGGTACCCCACTTGTGACAGGTACGGATGACGATTTCGTGCCATTAATCACCACACACTGCTTGCGGTCATGTAGAAAGTCTTCTATCCACGCTAGGACATTTCCCCGAATTCCGTACCCATCCAGTTTGATTTTCAGCCTTTCGTGGGGTACACTGTCGAAAACCTTGGCAAAATCTAGGTAGGATCTGGTAGCTCAGAAGCAGTGTTTAAAATCTCACTAAATATGTTGTGTATTAACGAGTTGCTTATACAGACTCTTTTGAATAATTGAAGTTATTACAGTAACGAATGAAAAACTAATTTCTCAATTTTCAATTTAATTTGAGGAAATTGTTTTAGAATTTTTAGATTTAGAATTTTATATAAAGGAAGGAGGGGGGCGTGGAGATGAGGACCAACTGCCTATAGGGGGTGCGACCCTAAAAAGGTTAAGAACCAATGCTTTAGAGTCTAAAGCATGTCAGTGGTGCCACGTAATGGTCTAAGGTTTAGATCATTACGTGGCACCACTGACATGATCTTTGCTGCCCGTCAGTTACAGGAAAAGTGCAGAGAACAGACTCGTGACCTGTAAATGGCTTTTATCGATCTAACCAAGGTCTTCGACTCGGTCAACAGGGAAGCCCTCTGGTGGACCCTCAGCCGCTTTGGCTGCCCACCAAAATTCGTCGCCATTGTGAGGCAACTCCACGATGGCATGAACGGCAGTGTCCTGCACAACGGCACCCAGTCTGAGTTCTTCCTCATCCAAACAGGGGTTAAACAAGGGTGTGTACTGGCACCAACTCTCTTTTCCATTTTCTTGACTGTCTTCCTTACTCGCGCAAGTGCCAATTTAGCCGGCGGGGTGAACATTCAGTACAGGATAAAGGGGAGTCTTTTAAACATAAGACGACTCCAAGCAAGAACAATGGTGTCGACAGCTTCCATTACTGAACCTCAGTATGCAGACGACACCACCCTTGTTGCTCACATTGAACACGACCTACAGGAGATCCTGAACACCTATGCAGATGTGCATGCACACTTCGGCCTTGAGGTGAATGTACATAAGACTCAGATTCTCTTTCAACCTGCCCCTGGTTCAGACACACCTCAACCATCCATCCATCTTAACAGTACTACCCTCTCCAATGATGCCCACTTTCGGTATCTAGTCTCCCACTTGTCCACCACCGCAAACATCGATGAAGAGATTCAGCATCGGATTAGATGTGCATCTCAAGCCTTTGGCAGACTCCAAAACCGTGTCTTCAGCTGTAGGGAGCTGAAAGTATCTACAAAGCTGCACGTATATCGAGCAGTAGTCCTCCCCACTCTGCTATATGGCAGTGAGACATGGGTTACATACAGGAGGCATCCCCCGTGTTCGATGGGAAGACAAGAGAACAAATGCCAGTACAATATTCTTGCTGACACCAACTGTAAGAGCATTGAGGCTACCATTATCCGTGAACAACTACGCTGGACTGGCCATGTTACCCGCATGGACGATAGTAGACTGCCAAAACAGCTACATTACAGTCACCTAACGAATAGTAAACGTAATGCCGGCTGGCAATTAAAAAGGTATAAGGATAGTCTTAAGACAAACCTAAAAAAAATGCCAAATCGACCCCCTCACCTGGGAGTCGATTACTTTACATCATAACGCTTGGAGGAGCACCACACGAGAAGGTGCCAATACTTTCTAGTTAGCCCGACTGCAAACCGAGGCAGACAAGCGCCAACACCGGAAAGACGCTGCCACCGCTCCTCCCGCAGTAGATGGAGCCCTCCACATGTGCAACGAATGTGAACTACACTGTGGGTCCTATATCGGTCTCTTTAGTCACCTCAAACTCACTAACCTAGGTGACATCCCTAATACCTCATATCATGTATCATAGCTGAATGATCGTCATACTCAATTCCAAGTGACAGCAAAGTAGTTGTAGTATATACGTAAATAAAGAACTTGGTTGATATTTATGCTGCATAAAAGTAATCTGACCATACAGATCTATTGGTTTATATCCTGTACATGTCTCTGACTTGTAACTCTCATGTAACATAATGGATTTTTTAACTGCTGGTGAACAATGATACGGTATCTATGAAATTAAGTAATTGAATTAAGTAGTTTATATTCAATGTAATTCAAAGTGTAAGTACCTGAAAATGATACGAAGAAAATATTCAATATTTTAGTGGATGATAACTAAGGTAGAACAGTATTATGATGTGAGGTCTTGTGGGAGTACCAGCCATAGTCCACACTACTAGTTTACTTGAGAATGCTTTATTCTTAACAAGGTTAGCTAATATTAACCCATTTAATGACATATAGTGTATGAATTTTTGCAGATTGTGGTGGTTGAGGTCTGTCACAAGGAACAACTTTACCAACAATTTCATTATAATAAAACTTCATGGTAATCTTCAAGTTTTCGTTCTTAAATTTCACCAGGGTATCCAAAGTAAACATTTTAGTTTCTTTAGGCACATAAAGTTATAAAATACATAAACATCACCTTAAATCTATATTAAATGCGTGAATACTCATCTTAGGTAGAGTACTAAAGTCTGAACAGCATGAACATCAATTTGGAACTGTACTGTAAGTAATGTGTCAGTGTTACAGTGAGTGATAAGAAGTAGGTCAGAATTGTTCAAAATACATAAAAAAAAAACCATCGGAAAAACATAATTTTAACAATCTAAATACCGGAAGTAATTATTCATGACTAACCTGCCGCCGAAATTGGAAGAAAACGATTTTAAAAACTCGGATTTTCAATGTTTTTTTTTTATAGTGGACACTGTTGTAGTTTCTGAAAATGTTAAAAAATGGTTATTTTTAAAATAAACGTAACTTAACCTTTGTGGGTATGAAAAATAGACCTAACCAACCTAGCCAAACAAACCTAACCTAACCTTACTTAAGTTCCTTACCAGTCCCCCCAGGTATACTAAACAGAAAGAACTGGCTATGATATGGTGTAATTTTGAGGCCTTTTCTGGACGTGAGATCATGTGGCCTCATCTGTGCTTATGCAGCCCAGGCGGTAGAATGATTTAATGTGATGGCGGGAAAAGTTTAGCCACGGCATTGAAGAAGTGATGAACAAATTTCTTTCTTGTCTGAACGCACAGAGATTTCCGCAGTGTGGACAGTCTCTATTTAAAGGAATAATGCCGTGGTCTTTGAACAATTGAAGGGTCTCGTTGTCTTTATCCCTAAATTTGCGAATTATGTCCATATAAGATCGGCGACAACCTTCACACACCATGCTGAAAATGAAACTTCCGCGAGCCCGGGGAAAAGCGTCACAGCAGAGTGCAGCCTCATTACCGCCGGGAAGACAAATTTAGTGCGATCCTAGGCGCCTGATTATCTACAAAACGAAACATTTGCACAAGAAATGATTACCATATAAGAACATACTGATGAAAATGAAGTAAAAAATAAACAGTAATACAAATGACTCATCCGTGGGTTAGTCCTATATATTAACCACCTAAACTTACAATCCTAAAATTTGCTGTATGACCGAAACGATAATAATACCGGCTATCCTTGATCAAATTGCCATACTATTTACCGTTGTTGCATACCTGAACTACATAGGTACATATAGTCTGTTCACTCAAAGTTTGCAACTGTGGCCTAAGGTCAGTTTGTAGCAAGGCAGCTGATTGGTTTGCAGAAGGACACCCAAAGAATCATAAAATTTCTTCAATATTTAATCTATATTCTGAAATGGTAATCCTGGAGCAGATAGGTTATGCCAGAATGCATTGTTCGATTTTGTTCATTTTTCCCATAGATATTCTGTGAATAATAGTATGGTAAGTAATAAAAATGATATGACAATCCACAGAACCTAATAGAACCTAACCTAACCTTACTGAACTTCCTAGTTAGGGGGTGTGACCCCCTACCATATTAAACAGAAAGTACTTACAGTGGTCTCTCGGTTAACGAGCACAATCCGTTCCAGCAAGTTGCTCGTAAACCGAAAAACTCGTTAACCGAAACCATTGTTTCAATGGGTTTTTGGGTAATTGGTTCCAGCTCACCGAAAATTGCCTAAATTCAGCAAAAAAGGTAGTAAAGTACAGTACACTTACTCTGAGGTGTGTATGTAGAAGGCTCCTGGATGATGATGATCATCATGGGAATTAGAATGGGGGTGGAGGAGAAGGGAGAAGAGAAGTCACCCCATGCCACCATTTCACCCATAAAATTTTAGTTCACTTGGTGTAATTCAAGATTATTTTCTTTAAATCAACACTGCACTGCATTATATATTGTCAGTATGTAAAATAAATTTCAAAATGACCAATAATTTCCTTGCAAACACAGAAAAAAAGTGTTTAGTTGAAGAGAGTCTCAAGCAAGATGTTACCTCCACTGAAAAGAGAGAGAGACATAACACTTGTTTGTGTGTTAACAGGCCGGATGGCGCGCATGAAACTAGTTTCTTTACCTTCAATTATGTTAAATAATTGTTAAAATGATGAAAAAAGTTAATATTAAACTTTTAAAATTATTGAATAGTATAAACTTCTTGATATTTACTAAAATAGTATGGAATTTAAACCCTAAAACCGATTACTGTATTGGCGGACTAATACTACAGCTGGTGGACCGCCAAATGCAAGCGAAAACATGTTGAGGTCGGTTCGTAAAAAACTCGTTAATCGAGGGATTGCTCGTTAACCGAAGTTAAGAATCTTATGGAAGGTAAATCGTTAACCGAAATCTCGTTAACCGAGGGATCACTGTACTTTGATATCTGGTACCAAGAAAATCAACTTTCTTGAAGCGGCATGGTGTAATTTTGTGTTTTTTGTGGACATGAGAATACGCTCGGACCGAGCAACCCACTCGGTCCAAGTGTAAACAAACAAAGAGCAGACAACATGGGCTGACATGGCAGATTTTTTTGCTTTATATTTAAGGTAACAAATTATTTTTTTTGCGTACAAAGCACGTAGCGATATCATTTTCGTGTCATAAGATCAGTTTTCACTGTATTTTACCCTGCAATTTTCTTCATCGTTTATACCCTGCCCACTACAGGTGATTTATCATTATGATTATTGATAAAGAACTAAAAAATTAAAAATAAATACATATAATGAAACTAAAAAGTTGGCAAATCGTTTTTATTACTTACAATCATCCAAAGAACATCTGTGCAAAAAATTAATGATGTCAAACAACTTCTGGTGTTAGTCATCTGCTCAGTGTTACTGTACAGTGATCCCTCGGTTAACGAGCGCCTCGGTTAACGAGATTTCGGTTAACAAGTTACCTTCCATGAGACTCTTAACTTCGGTTAACGAGCAATCCCTCGATTAACGAGTTTTTTACAAGTCAACCTCAACATGTTTTTGCTTGCATTTGGCGGTCCACCAGCTGTAGTATTAGTCCGCCAATACAGTACAGCGGGGTATGCAATAACGAACGGATTCTACTACGAATATTCCTATAACGAACGGTTTTACCTATAAAATTGAGAATGCTATAACGAACAAAATTCCTACAACGAACAGTAATTTTTTATTTATTTATTTATTTATTTTTTTTACTAATTTATTGTTTTTTATTACAAGTATTAATGATATTCTTTATTTCAGGAGTTTAGATGCATATTTATGCACTTTCTTACAATTTTTACAATTTTATATTATGTTTTTCAGTGTTAAGTGGTTGTATTTGGGGGCCTGGAACGGATTAATCCTATAACGAACGAATGCTATAACGAACAAGGTTCTAGAACCAATTAGATTCGTTATAGCATACCCCACTGTAATTGGTTTTAGGGCTTAAATTCCTTACTATTTTAGTAAATATCAAGAAGTTTATACTCTTCAATAATTTTAAAAGTTTAATATTAATTTTTTTTGTCATTTTAACAATTATTGAACATAATTGAAGGTAAGGAAACTAGTTTCATGCGCGCCATCCAGCCTGGCAACACAGCAAACAGGCGCCAGTCTCTCTATCTTTTCAGTGGAGGTAACATCTTGCTTGAGACTCTCTTAACCTATACGCTTTTTTCCTGTGTTTGCAAGCAAATTATTGGTCATTTTGAAATTTATTTTACATTTTGACAATATATAATGCAGTGCAGTGTTGATTTAAAGAAAATAATCTTGAATTACACCAAGAGAACTAAAATTTTATGGGTGAAATGGCACCATGGGGTGACTTCTCTTCCACCCCAATGCCTTTTCTTCTCCCTTCTCCTCCACCCCCATTCTAATTCCCATCATCATCATCCAGGAGCCTTCTACATACACACCTCAAAGTAAGTGTACTTTTCTACATTTTTTGTTGAATTTAGGCAATTTTCGGTGAGCTGGAACCAATTACCCAAAAACCCGTTGAAACAATGGTTTCGGTTAACGAGTTTTTCGGTTAACGAGCAACATGCTGGAACGGATTGTGCTCGTTAACCGAGGGACCACTGTATTACCTCCGATATTTTAAGGGATAATAAGCTATGTTGATCTCTAATAATTTCCACGCCTGGGGAAGCAAATATTTGCATGTGAAATACACTGGTAATAAAAATATCATGAAGAGAACACAAACATAATGGACAAATTCTGGGACGTAAACTCCTCCTCCACCCTGTGACACCACGTAGCGTGGTGGAGGATGTCACTGAAATTTTCTGCTTTTTTTTTTTGCTCTTGTCCTTTTCCAAATATTTATGTTATCTGAGCATTTCACGTGCTATCTTTTGCTTCTCAAGTGCAGAAATTATCAGAGATTAACACAGAATAGTCATTACCCCATAATGTATCAGAATACAAATATGATAGATTAAATACAGTACTGAAGAACTGTTATGATTCTTCGGGTGTCCATCCACAAACCAATCAGCTGCCTTGCTACAAACTGACCTTAAGCCTCAGTTGCAAGCTTTGAGTGAACATACTATAAGAAACTATACTCCACAGCCTCCAGTATGTGCACCATATATCTACATTGTCTATATTCATGCTGAATTGTATCACTGTACAGTAGTACTGTACTGTACTGCTGAGGCCTCAAGTAGCTTTCATTGCTTAACTATTCACTTTTCAAAGTAATTGTGTAGAAAATGTTGTTTAGGGAACCTGGTTTTTAATCTGTAGACTTGTTAATTATACAGAACTACACTATTTTGGTTGGTAAACAAAATTCCAAGATTATCATTCATTTTGGGAATTAGTAATTTGATAGATACTTTTTCCTTACAGGTATCTCACAAGAAGAAGCAAAATGTATAGACGAAAATGTTCCGTCTCCTGGGCTTGGATTGTGAGTTTTTTGTTGTTCATGTATCTGACAGGAGTTTACCAATATTTCATAGCTTGGTCTTTTTCAAAGTATTACACACATTGGGGAACATTTCACACTCTACAGCCACTAATAGCACAATTAAAGGCTGGAGAAGATGTAGCTGTGAAACCTGTAAATGAGTTTTATTACTCCTACACATATTTGAATGTTGAGAAATGTGAAGCAAAGGATTCCATTCGCTTGATGTATGTCGTGAAGTCAGCTCTTCAAAATTTTGACAAAAGAATGGGAATACGCAACTCTTGGGGATTTGAAAGTCGCTTCTCAGATGTGGAGATCAGAACAGTCTTCTTGGTAGGCATGAAACCAGATGAACCTCATTTACAAAAACTACTTGCCAAGGAAGTTGAGGAGCATAAAGATATAATACAAGCCAACTTCAGTGACTCATATTACAACAACACTCTAAAAACCATGATGGGCTTACATTGGACATACTGCTATTGCCAAAAGGTAAAATATTTCCTTTTTGTGGATGATGATTATTATGTGTCAACGAGAAATATGCTTCGCTTTCTAAGGGACCCTGCTAACTATCCTAATTATCTTGAAAATTATGTTGTATCAGCTGTTAATGAGTACAAAGAATATTTGTATGCTGGTTATGTCTTTGAAAATGCACATCCCATCAGGTGGGTGTTTAGCAAGTGGTACGTCTCACTCGACGAATATCCTTATTCGGAGTGGCCTCCTTATGTGACAGCTGGAGCCTATGTTTTATCACGGAAGAGTCTGGAAGACTTATACTTCGGCAGCATATACACCAACAAGTTTCGTTTTGACGATATCTTCCTTGGAATGGCGGCAAAATATGCAAGCATCAAACCTTTTCACCATAAAGAATTTTATTTCTACCGCAAACTGTATGACAAGGAAGGATACAAGTGGGTGATAGCCTCTCATGGCTTTGATGATCCAAAAGAGTTACAGGAGGTGTGGAGTGAACAGAGGTCTGCTGGAAATGCATAGAAGTTGTCTCATACTGTAGTTCTTGCTCCTCAGTATTTTTTTTTCTGATAAATTTGCCTAGAAAGCCTAACTCAAGAGTTGACTTTGTATTTACGTATATTAACTTATAAGTGAGTTTTCATAACTTCATGTACTGGGTAGCTATTAAAGTTTACTAAATATTTCAGCTTAAGAAATTTTTAATTATTCTATACAGTACAGTACTTACATATTTGATGAGTATTTACTCAGTGAATCATTCCTCAGTCTATTTTTCCCAGAACAGTATGTTACTCCTGTGATAAATACAATACAGTTTGTAATTTTAGCTCCATTTTAAAGGTTTTGTTTTGAGAAAATTCATTTTGATAAAACAAATGTAGTGATTGTTAGTGATATTTAAGTCACAATGACAGTGATATTATACTACCAGATGAACTTTTGTTAATATTGCCACCCATATAATACTCAGTGTTTCTCACTCTTGTATTTTTATATATTATTAAGAGTAAATCTGTTAGTGATATAATTTACCTCATCTTGATACTGTATATGTAGGAGGGTGAGTGGGTCATTTTCCATTTTTTTTTCTGATTACTGTTGAATAATGTGTACATTTTGTTTTGATTTATCGTATGTTTTTGTCATCATGAATGGATCAGGTTAGGATGTTTTTCCACTTATGCGATGGGGTCATCCTAGCAACATCTCCTTTGAACATTGTATGTTATTGATGACCTCCAGACCTTCAATTGCTTAACCCATTCACTGTGGCCCTATTGTAAGCCAGTACCTGTGCAATACATAAAAAGAAGTCATTGTGGCATGAAGAAGAATACTACTCCTTAAAGACAGCAGTACAGTTCTTTAAAACACTCATACCTTACCCTACCTATTTTTCATTGTGAGGGCTCCTGACTCTTGAAAGTAAAAATTTACTAAACCAGTACAGTACAGGACTATTGGGTGTACATATGATAATTGTGTCGGAGATTTCCACGACACTCGCACTTTTATCTCACGTGAGGACTATATGTATTCGTAAAAGAGAAAACAATAAAAGGCAAGCCTACAGGGAATGTGTTAAGCAACAATTCATGAAATATGTGATATAAGACCATACAGTACAGGAATGTGAAAATGTTTTAAATGAGAAGAGAGTACTGTACAGTACAGTATTGGTGAAGGAGGAGAACGAGCAAGTTTATGAAGGGGTGGGATTGGGTTTGGCTATGTTGGTGGGTAATGATGCAATAAATCTTCAAGTTATTGATAATGAAATGATTAGAGGTTAGAATGATGTAAACTGTAATTGGGATAGAAGGCATACTGTATATCAGGAGAACACAAGCACTGATTTTTTTGAAAATGGAAAATCAGGAAGCAATGGAGATGTGATTGAAAGAAGGAAGATTGTCGGGCAAATAACAAATAAATATGGTCAAAGAATGTGTATTGGTGACAGTTGGTTTGGATCATACATATAATGTGTGATGATGTATACAGTATTAGTGATTGTGTCACATAATTAGCTGTAAGGTGAATGAAGTTTCGGATTTAAATACTGTAATTAAAAGAATTTCGGGAAAATGAGTATTCTTGGACAAGGTGCTTAGGTTTGTGGTGGGCTTGTTTGATCAAACTACTTTTAGTTTAGAAAAAGAAGATTTGAGAGTAGGAACAGAGTACGTAAATAATTTTTTTTACATTTAGGTTCAAGTACTGTAATGTATACCCGGTAGTGAAAGTTCAAGAAGAAATTTCATGGTGTTTTTGTTAATTATTGGAGGTGTGTGATAAATTATTTGGAGGGGAGTTTGGATGGTCATGAAAGGCTTGTTAATGTTAATTTTGTAAGCCTCTGTGTCTTTCCTCCTGTTATCAATGATACACTTGACCATAGTTACCAGGACAGGAATGTTGGAAAAAAGTTATGTAACCAATGTACTGTACTCAACACATTAAGATTTACGGTAGAAAAGATTAGATAAAAAATAAAAGGTTAGTATGATCTCATCAAGTGGAGTCAGTAGATCAAGTCATTATTGGTGTTATTAGTGTGAGAGATTTTCATACGAAATGTAATAGTATTTTTTGTTTTGTTCAAGACTAGAAGTTTTAGGTCACATAAGAGGAAGCACACCTTTTTAGTTGCACCAGCAGATCTATACATGACTTGGTTATTAATTCACTAACCCTCTGATCAATAGTTTATTATTTCTACGATGTTGATGCATCATTCATCTTTAATATATATATAAGTATATACTGTATATATTTTTTTAAATTTACCTACAGTATACAGTACTGTATTGTACAGTACACTAAATGGAATTATGTACTGGTACTATTGGGTTTTAGAATGCACATTGTGTTATAACTGAGTCAGGTGTTGAATTCTGCCAACTGTAAGATAAAGTATGTCTGTATTGTATTGTACACTATATTTTGTGTACAATATTTTATTATGGTATCAATTACTGTAGTACATGTAGTTTAATTATTTTCATTGAAATTTGTGTCACAACATATATCATGAAGTTTAATGTACAGTGCTATATATAATTCTTAGGTTCTACCCATGAGTCCTTCAAGAGGTGACAAGAGCCTACTATGTGATTTATGGTAAATTATTGAAAGCATATTATTTAAATCTTATGCTGCTGTGTTGTGTTGATATTAACCTCTTCACTACGGGAATGCCACTATAGGGTATTAACCTCTTCGCTACGGGAATGCCACTATAGGGTATTAACCTCTTCACTACGGGAATGCCACTATAGGGTATTAACCTCTTCACTTCGGGAATGCCACTATAGGGTATTAACCTCTTCACTACGGGAATGCCACTATAGGGTATTAACCTCTTCACTACGGGAATGCCACTATAGGGTATTAACCTCTTCACTACGGGAATGCCACTATAGGGTATTAATATTTTATTTGGCTAATGTAATCCGGTTTATTTCACATCCTGATTAAACACCCCAACTTATTTTACTTGATGATTAGACACCCCCAGTTTATTCCACTTCATGATTAAGACACTCCAGTTTATTTCACCTGATGATTAAATACCCTATTACTACCTGATGGGGTTAGGTTAGCAGTAGGTTGTTTAATCATCAGGTGAAATAAAATAGATGTCTAATCTTAATAGTGATTTTGCTGCATAATTTTAGGTGTAGGTTTGTCTGTTAGGAAGGTTAATCTATCAGGGACACATTCAAAGACTCTGCCAAAGCAAGTTAACCAATTCCAGGTTTATTTTACTCCCTGTGATAAAACAATAAAAAATAAGTAAGACAAACTATATATTGACCCTCTAGAAACTTCCCTGGCCATACGGAGGGAGGGAGGAGGGGGGGAGTAAGGAAACAGTGTTAGTTTGACAGCTGACTCTCGTGGTCTCTCTGCACTTAACAGCTATTTGTAGCTTGCCTTTGTGTCCAATAATGTATATATTTACTGATCTTAATACTTATTTGCTATAAATAATTCATTTGCATTACCGGTATTTCTCATAAAAAGTGCTTGGCAGCACTCACCAGTCGGTCGCCAATCTGCCTGGCTGTCTTTGTGCTTGGTAGAGCAAGTAATGCATAAAATAATAATAATTCCACAAATAAATACAGTAGTACCCCGCTTAACGCGGTCAATAAAACCCACAGGGTACCGTGTTAAGTGAAAACCGCGCTAAGTGAACAACAGAACATATGGGATTAATTCCAATAGAAACTGGCCCGACCCCCAAACTCCACTTTTTGACGACACATAACTATGTTGTAGTAAAAATTTTATCTTAACTTTATGATGGTATGAACAAACAAGTAATATAGAAGAGGTTAGGTTATGAAAAATAAAGGTTAAGTTAGGAAAAATCAAGGTTAGGTTAGGAAAATTAAAAGTTAGGTGTAACACTTACGTTAGTAGAAGACACACACTGCGCAACCTTACAGCGCGGCTTGCCCAGGCGGAGGGAGGCGGGAGGGAGGGAGGAGGAGGGAGAGGCGAGAGCAGGCAGGCAGGCGGGTGGCGGGTGGGGCGAATCTAAAAATAGCGTCTCGAGCCGGACACTCACCGCGTATACGTGGAAAAAACCCGCGTTAAGTGAAAGTTCGGCTCTGGCGAGGCGCCGCGTATACGGTAAAACACGCTAAGCGAAACCGCGTTAAGCGGGGTATTACTGTACATTTATAACATAATCATAGCTTTGTTTTACAGTACAGTAATACTATCCTACAATACAACTACCGGTACACTACTTTTAGCAATATTACTTTGATACAACATGATAAAATATACAAACAATGAAAATGAAACAAACAAAAGTAGGTAATTATGTTCAGAAAGCTACCCTGTGGCCGAGCACATGGTGTGACAGGCAAATAGTCACACTGGAACCTGATAACCCGCACTGGACATTTAAACTGGAAGGAATAGGCGCGCGTTCTGGAATGTCACCTGGGGCGCGCTGGTCGGACGTTTTGGAACGTCACCCGGGGCCTAAGGGTTAACACTTATTCCACTATAAAAACAATGTGGCTTAGATATAAAGAAAATATAATATACAACTATAAAACATGAAAAATGAAGAGCGGGTGTGTATGTGTGGGAAGTGAACTCGTGTGGAGGCAGTGAGCTACAGTATAAATAATATGTTGCCAACTCACCAGTCCAGCTGCCTCAAAGAAGTTGTGGAAAAATCATCACAATACTCTTATGTGGATTATAAATAAGGAAAATATAATATAAAGCTATAAAATAAGAAAAATGAAGAGCATGGGTTTGTATGTGTGGGAAGTGAACGTATGTGGAGGCAGTGGGTTACTGGGCTGTAACTGGGTGACGTCATGACATACACACAGCCAGCAAGACAACCACATGTCTTAGAGTCAACTGGGTGACTGTCTGAACTGTCATGTTGCCCAGAGGATGGTTTGAATGTGGTAGGAGCTATTTTTTGTACATAAAATACAGTGTGTGTAATTGTATTTTATGATATGCTATGTATCACTTTTATTATTTATCATAGCAATAAATATGGCTGCTCATCTCAATTGCACACACACACACACACACACAATAAGAGTTCAATAATAAGCAGAATAACTAAAATAAAATTCATTATACCTACTTGTGACAGCTGGGGGATCATACCTTACAATACTGTACACATACTAGTCA